AAAAAAAAAAAAAAAAAAAGGAAAAAGGAAAAAAAATGTGAATCGCAAACATAGAATCATTGTATAGTTGGATGAACTAAGGGCAATAATGGTTTAACCAGTTTAGAAGTTCATTTCACCGATGGTCCTAAGTAGAGTTTAGTTAGGTAGAGCTGCGTACACATTTGTAAAAGGATGTGCGAGAAACTTTATAGAAAGAGCAAATGCGAGTATGTATAATAATAACGAATGCAAACGATACTTAATGAAAACCTAAACAGAAACGAGAAATCACCGATACAATACGCATAGATATTTTGTAAGTGAAAATGAATTATGTACGTTCACTGCTTATGAGGAATAATAAATTCTGTGTCATAGTGTATGTATATTAATTTGTAGACGCGAAGATAAAAGATGCTGTCAACAGACTATGGATACATTTGTGAATGTGCACTTATCACTCGAATAAAAGAAAGAAAAACGTTTTGACTGTAGCCGTCATAATTGATTTATTAACGAAAACAAAACAAAAAGTACGACAGAGAACAAGGGAAGGGAGGGGGAAAAAAATAGAGACAGGTGAATAAAAGAAAAAAACGGAAGGAAAATGAAAATAGTACGCACAACTTACCCGGTAAAAGAAGTTTCGCGCATTCGTAATCGAATCGTGCCAACGCGAGATACTCCAAACGATCGGTAGACGGAAATTTCGAACTGAAACAAATTTAGCGAAATGACTGAACAAACTGGATAACGTGAATTGAGAAGGAAAAACGTCGATCCGCTTCACAAAGGTTTCATCGATATCGCTTTTGTTCTCTTTTTTCTCGAATAACACAAGCGCTCTCGTATCGCCTGTCTGAACTGGATTAATTTTCTTTCGTTTTCAATATCTTTATTACAAATCAATCGTGTAAAAAAATACATTCCCTTATCTATACTGACTAGTTAGAACAGCACCTTCTTTTTCTTTCAGTTTGTACGCCGAATTTTGTACGCTGACGAAAATGCATTGGGACCCGTAGCAATTTCAGGTCCCCCGTAACCGTATACTCCGTATGATATGCTACTTTGAACGTGAAATACATATTAATAAGAACGTCTGCAACAACAAAGTTTACGATAGAACCAACACATGGCTAGAACGAGTACAATAGAACGACGCTGTCATTAAATATTAATTCAATTTTAATGCCCCTGCGCTCCTTTGTCGTTCGATATATACTTGGTAAATACTGCACCAATTGGGTTATACTCGCACGATCCACCGGTTTAACTTGCCTCCGCACGAAACACGAGATAAACCAGGGACGATATATACGCGTCACTCGACATCGCATACAAACGCATCTGCTGCCTGTACGTTCACGCGCGCGCGCGTGTGTGTATATATGTATGTATATATAAAATAACTTACAGACTAGTCGAACGGCTTAGCTCGATCACGTTAATTGTACATCGTCGTATTTACAGGTACGCATAGCTACCGTCTAATAAATAAAGAGAGTTTCATCTCTCGTGAGCTTTCTATCAAAATTTGGAAGGCTTCATCGTAAGTCAAGTGGAAGCGGGACCACGTGACTGGTGAAAA